ACTCTTGTTGTAAAAGAACCTCCAACGATTCTGCGCTCCATCGAAGTGAGACGTTCGTCATTCTCTTCATCCTCTCTCGTTCAGTCCTTAAGGCTTCAATCTCCTCGACCGTTTCTCATCCTTTCGTATGTGATCTCCTTCGTTCTTCCTCTTCTTCTCTATTTCTCCAACGCCTATCTTGAAATCCCCTATCGTCGTCCTTCTTCCAGTTGCCGCGTTTCCTCCTTTTCATTCCCCTCTATCTCTACTTACTTTACCTTTGTCAGGTGGTATGAACTCTCTTACATCCTCATCACTGAATTGTTTTCCTAAACGGCTTCCAGGTACTCTTTTCCCTAGTTTCTCCAACATCCCAAGTAGATGAGCTTTGGCATCCAGTTCCCCAGTCTGCAAAGCCAATGCCCTTGTCTGAGTGAACGACACCCTTTTAGTGGGCATGTTCTCCACAACAAACTCTCTTCTCGCGATAGGTAGAGTCCCTATGAATATATCGCATCGTTCTATCTTACCGAGAAACCCATTTTCTATCAATGGTTCAGATGTCGTCTCAAAGCGTCTTGCAAACGCCACTAACGTCTCTCCTTCCTCCTTCATCTCCTTTAAGTCTTCGACTGAGTACAAGATATCGTCGCAAGCAAAGACTCGAGACAATCGTTCTCTGAAAGTTGCCCACTTCCTATCTTCGGGTATAGCGCCACATACATCTTTGTCTAGTTTGAAATCTGTGTGATTAATGAATCCAATTATGGCTTCCCGATCGGTCAATCCTGCTCTCAAGGCATAAACTTCTTAGTCATTCGGGAATTCGGCGGTTGGTAGGACAAGGGACCGTACAACTGTCTATATCCCATAGTATATGGACTTGGTCTACATGGTGGCTCATATCGTCCTTCTCACCGAGTCTCTTCTACTCCGTTCGTCATCCTTTCTCCTCCATCAGAACTCTCCACCCCCATCTTTCTCTCCGGATCTTTCTCTTTTTTCGTAGTATCTCCTTCCTGGAACTAACATCATATGATAAGTACTTTCTGATTCCATTCGCGCCCCATCCAGGTCATCAGTCGATCCAACTAATCAATGAGTAAATGGCTACGATATTCTCTCTGACGCTTGTGCAACCCACTCTTGACTGGTGAGGTCATAAACGCACACAACAGGCCACCAATGATCACCCCTGCATCCCTTCAAGACGTCAACAGGCCTAGGAAAGAACCGCCCTTTGGCGAATCTTCCCCTACCCTCATGTCAAGAAGGAGGTTGGATCAATGTACCATCGTCGCTGGCCTACCTCCTACGTCGCGACCTGGACACGAGCTGACCAACTCATGTGTCCTAGGGTGGACCGAAGTCACACGAGAACTAAGGGGCGGTGTCTCACTCGTGCATCCTCACACTCCTATCCATGCCTCTACTCGGCCCACCTCATGCATGGTCGACCTCGACTTGTGCGGTGTATCAATCCCCCCAGCTATCCATCAGGATCAGCTAGCCTATCTAGTCCCTGCCCAACTCCTTGCAGATCTGGGGCGCTTCTGCCCTCCCCTTCAATCCCTCCAGTTCATCCTCTACTCACTATTTTCTCTCTCAGAGTCAAATTAGGGAAGACTCACCAAAGGGTAGGGAAATATCAGAATCATTCCTCTCAATCACAAGGATACAGCAAGAAGAAAATGCATAAAATCACGAAAAAGTGAAGAAATCAATGGAATCATGAAATGCAGAAATCAAAATCTCACCCGAGAACGTCGATCACATACCGGTTACGAGTCGTCGACTCACTCGCGCTCACGCCGCTCCTGCACACGCCAAGGGACACCCGGTATAAATTTCGAGTAATGACTCCAACCCAGAATCTTCCTCGCCTCTGCGGTTACAGGCGGACCGAAGTCCCGAAAGGCAGCCTTCCCTAGCAACGGTGCCACTGTCGATCGGTAGAAAGAGTCTGTCAGCCAACGATCGAACCCTATGCCTCGCGCCGCGTCTGTCACCCACGGGAGGGTCGGTCGGGGCTCCTGTAACCTGCCACAAACTCATCAGTCATATCCACGTAAATAAAGACTGGAGCCAACTAAAGAGACAACCACGAGTCCCTCCTATCACACCGTCTGCGAGAAACAAAAAGATTGTTTTCATTTGGTCCAAAATAACACCTGTGGAAGAGTGCGCATCCGACCGTGTCCTTAGTCTGGTCTGGTCTAATCTGGTCTGGACTGGTTTGGTCTGATCAGGTCTGTTCTGGTCTGGTCTCGTCCTTGTCTGATCTGATCTCGGGTGGTCTCATCTCATCTGGTTTGAGTCTGTCCGGTCAGGTCTGATCTGGTCTGGGTACGGTCTCGTCTGACCTTATCCAGTATGCTCTGTCTGTTCTTGTCTGATCTGGTTTGATTTGGTCTGGCCAAGTCTGATCCGGTCTGGCCTGGTGTAGTCCGATCTGATCCGGTATGTTCTGAGCCTGGTCTAGTCTGGACCGGTCTGGCCTGGTCTGTTCTGGTTTTGGTCTGAGTCCGGTCGAGTCTGGTTATGTTCTGATGTTAGTCCGATCCCGCCTGGTTCGATCCGGCCTGATCCTTGGTAGTTTGATCCGATCTGGCCTGGCTTGATCCTGTCGAATCCCGGTCCGGTCTCCCTGTTACCAGCGGATTCCGGTCCGGTCTGTCTTGGTCCGACCCAGCCGGGTCTATTCTTGTCTCGCCCAATTAACTACCTTAAAAGAGTCACTGTTACTCCCGTCGTTCACCCCCCCCGCTTGGTTGAATCTCGCCGCTTTGACATTCAGAACGTTGGGCAGAAACCGCGCCGCAGCAACATCCGCCGTCAACCGCAATGCTTTGTTTCCTTTAAACAGTCGCAGAGGACCACGGATACCCCCACCGCTTACCTGCGCTCGGTTGAATCTCTTCGGTGTGAGATTCAGAGTGCTGGGTAAAATTCATATTGCCTTCGATTTCCGTTTGTATTGCGAAGCTCAGTCGGATGCCCCCGGATCTCTCTTTCCCTCTCTTGCGTCGCTCGAGTTCTCCCACGCTCACCCGTGCGCGGATGTGCGCTCGACATCCGCAGTGTCTCGCCTTCCGCTTGCGCAACTTCCAGCTGCTCTGCCAGTTACCCGTGCGCCCTCTCCTGCCCGTTCCGCTCGTGGAGCTGATCTTCTCTCACTCTCTCTCTCTCTCTGTCACTCTCTCTCTCTCTGTCACTCTCTCTCTCTCTCTCGCGCGCGCGCGCGCTCGCGTGCACTCACGCGCGCACGCAATCGCGTGCACGCAACCGTTGTCCTATATGCGACTCGCGCGCAGCTCATTCGCTGTCCATGCCATAGATCCTGCCCCCCTACCCGTGCAAAAGCTTTCTCCTTCCCGCTCGGTTCTGCTACTTCGCGCGGCTTCCCTCTCTCTCTCTCTCTCTCTCGTGTGCGATCTTCAACTCTCCTTGTGTGTGATCGTTAGCTCTCCCATGCGCGGTCCTGCTAGGAATCTATCTGCAGCTTTGCACGAGCTCCCAATGACTCGTGCGGTGACGATCTCGCCCGCTATGGCAATCTTGCCCGCAATGACGAACTTGCCTGAGGTAGTGAAGATCCCCTTGCTCGCCCTGATGTTCCACCCGCTCACGATGATGTTCTTCCTGCTTACGCTGATCAACCCGTTCATGATGATAATCTGGCCAGTCTGCTGGCGATCTAATCTCTCAACCTCGTGATCTGATGTCCGTAATGACCCCCGTGTTGGACTTGATCCTCCGCACGTTGATCAGCGCGGTCTTTTGTTGGCGATCAGTGCGATGATCCACTAACAGATCCGCGGACCAGTACGGTGATCCATACTTGTTCCCGACGATCAGCGTAATGATCTTCGTGATTTCCATTGGTGATTGACGTGACGATCCGCCCTTGATCTCGCTGATCTGCGCAACAACCCCCGTAATTTCTGTGAAGTCCAATGTGAAGATACTCGTTTGTTTCCCCGTTGATTAGCCCTATGATCCGCACGCGACTTCAGTGATTTTCGCAGCAAACCGCGTTGTTTCCCTGTCGATTAGTGCGATGATTTGCGTGTCGCCCTGTTGATAGGTGATATGACCCACGCATTCTCGATGTCAATCCGGGCATTGATTCGCGCTCACTTTTTGATGATGATATCTAAGATTTGCGCTCTCCCTTTATTGATAATGTGCGCACTAAACTGCACGACCATCCGAGCGCGCCCACCTCGGTTATGAATTCCGTCGAGATCGCCGCACGTTCCTTGATGACGTCGTCGCCCGTGCGACGATCAAGGCATTTCGTACGTGACGTACCTGTTCAGCGGTATATACATGCACGAAGTGACCGTCCTCCTTCCTGGAGCACTGCTCCCGTGCACATGGCATTCCTTCCCTGAGCCTCCCGGTGCGTCCTGAGGCAGGACACCTTGTGTCCATCTCGCGCACCTGTTCTGTGCGCTAGTCCAAAAAATCCCCACCGTGAGCTTGTCCCGTGCGCAAATCGGAAAAGTCCCACCGTGCGCTTCTGGGCTAGCACACCCCGTGTGCCAGCCCTTGCGCCCTTTCCGTGCGCAAGTGAGAATCTCCTTATCTTGAGCCCTGTCGGGCTTTTAAACTTTGTCGGCCCTCTTCTCGGAGTGCTCCAGCTTCGTTAAGTGCTCTGGCGCGGCCGACTAGTTGCAGCGCCCAGGTACCATGGCTTCCCTGCCTGTACCCGGGCCTGTTTGGCCCTCCGAAGGGTTTCCAACGAAGGGAGCCTTTTTATCGGGTACCGGGCTTCTTGCAGCGCCTCGGCACCGAAGCTCCTCCGAACGTAAGCCCGGGTCTGCCCAGGCTCTAGCGGTCCCCACGTAGAAAATATCAAGGCCTCACCAATTTCCGCGGGCCCGGTCTTGGAAATGAGCTCACGGCCTGAGGGCCCTTTTTCCATCTCCCGCGGTTCCCGCCGTCGGTCTCGTCTCCTATTCAACCCACATCGACGGAACACTTGGCGCGAGTCTGTAAGATGCCGCCCTTCGGTAGCCATATTCGAATGGCCGCGGCAATTTCAGCCACCTGATCGGCACGTTGCTGTCTCGTATTAAAATTCCCTGTTTTCAATTAAATTAATAATTCATCTGGCAACCGTCGATTCCAGGAAAAGCCCACCCCGGTCGGTCCGCATTCCGCCACAGTCTACTCCGGGCCTGGTTTTCCCATGTCGTCCAACCGCCATTCTCCAGTCGTCTCCACGGGCTCGGGTTGCAGAACAAAAACACACCGGAAAGGATCGCCATGTGAAATTCGACCTTCGACTGTAGTCTCTTTAAAGGAAGTAAAGGGCGACGTAAAGTTTGGGCCGCCCGACAGCGTGAAGGCAGGGAAGATGGTGGAGGCCGCCTATCCGACCATCTTCAGTGTCGGTTGTACGGCACATGCGCTGGACCTGGCGCTGGAGGACATATACAAGGAAATGCCTTGGATGGAACAGGTCGTCGACGCTTGCAACAAGGTCGGCCGTTTCTTCTCGAATGTGGACAAGGCAAGGACCTTGTTCCACCATTACTCCCCGAAGACAAACCTGAAGCAGCCAGCAGCAACCAGATTCGCAACCAACTTCGAGATGCTGCAGTCGCTGAAGGAATTGAGGAATGCTCTTGATCGTTGCGTGTGCGACGCGGGATGGGTAGCCAAGATGGTGAGGAGTGACCAGTTACTGGCAATGCACGAGGTAACAACCATCATCCGCGACAAGGGCGACTTTTGGAGCAATGTGCAGAAGGCGCTTCATGTGATGCCGCCAGTGGTGGAGTTGCTCCGTTTGGTGGATGGGCAAGGAGCAACCATCTCGAAGGTTTACTTCAAGATGGATCGGGTTGTGCAGGACCTGCGTGCCCTGGAATGCTTGTTAGAGGAGGAACACAAGGCGGTGGAGCGCATCCTCATGCGGCGCTGGGCATTTTCGACATGCGAGTTACATTGCGCTGCAGCCTTTTTGGATCTTGAGCATCGGATGCACAACGCAGATCGCGACCCAGAGGTCCGTGCGGGGTTCAACATCTGGTTGTACTCATGGATGCCTCGACATCGGCTCTACGTGGTCAGCTCCCAGGTCGACCAATGGGTCAATGCTTTGAGAGGGTTCTCGGCGGAGCAGGCTTGCGAACAAGCCAACCACCAACCGCCAGCTTTGTGGTGGGAGGCGTTCGGCTTGAAGCACGGCTTCCCCGCACCACAAGAGATCAAATTGCTTGGCCAGGCAAGCTCCTTTGCCGCTTGCAAGCAGAATTGGAGCTTATCTATTGAAGGAGGCAGACGGAGTTGTTGTCAGAGAGGATGGCGAAACTCGTCTACATCAGCTGGAATGTTCGGCTCCTGAGGAGGATTCAGCGCTGCGAGGGGGATGACACCCACATTCCATGGGCGGACGACGTGCCGGTGAAGAAGGAGATGGAGGAGTGGTATGTGTGGTGGTTGGAGCGGGTCAATGAGGATGTCGACCACGAGGACATTGTGTAGGTCGACTTTGATAATGACTGAGACGAGATCCCGATGCGGATGACTTTCGCTCAATAACGAAGTTGACGACACGCTGATTGAGGAGGAGGAAACTGAACTTGTTGGAACAAGGCACTGCGACTGGCACGAGTGCACAAAGCTTGGGAAGCACCGCCAACAAGAGTTGCGCAGGAGATCTGGTTGCCAGCTGCCTGAGCCTGGAGAGTTGTACACAGAGGCAAGCTACGCTCTCCCAATGGAAGCACGACGAGCAGGCACGTGGGTGCAGGGCCGGGACGAGGCGCCAAGAAAGAGGAGAGGGAAAGCCAAGGGCAAACAAACAGTGGTGGATGATGATCCGCTCGCGCAGAGTGGGAAGAGGAAGGCTGTTTAGCAAGAACAACCACCACCGAAGAGGGGTCGTCCAACTTTGGTAGAACAGGCGGCACTCAGGGCGCAGGTGGCTGAAGATAAGGCTGTTGCTGCAGCTGCTGCAGCAAAAGCTGCTGCTGACAAAGTTTCAAAGGTGGCTGAAGACAAGGCTGTTGCTGCAGTTGCTGCAACAAAAGTTGTTGCTGACAAAGTCGCAAAGGCCAAAGCCAGAGCGACAATGAAAGCTGCCACAAAGAGCGCAGGTGGAGGAAAGGTCAAGAAGTCTGTCGTTGTAAGTGACGACGACGACTTGGATGTTCCGGAAGGAAGTCCGGAAGAGGACGAGCCCGAAGGATCGTCCACGTCCAGCGACTCAAATTCTTCATCGACGGCCTCATCATCCCAGTCCAGTGGGAGAAAAGGCACAGACGGAGAAGCAAGTGAGTGAGGGGCCCAGTTCGAAGACGACGAGGAGGAAGATCGAGCAGAGGCTGAGTAGAGAGAAGTCGTTCGAGCTATGAGTTTAGGTATTCGATGCTCCAAGTGTTGCGTTCTGACAATGGTCGTCTTTCAGACTTTCAAACATTTAGCTTCGAAGTTCCGAGTTTCAAACTTTTTTTTTTTCTTCTAGCAATGTATGAATAATAACATTGAATATCCTTGTGCCAATTGATTGTTGATTGCATTTGATAGACTGGTTTTCTGTTGTGTTCGTCATTGTTTGTTGTGGATGCTGCACTCAAATTCATTGCTGCGTTCTTTTGACGCCATGTTGTCGCGTCGCTGGACGGATGCCGTGACTGCCGTCGCAGGTACGTGTATACTCCGGCTTGAGGTGAGTGTTTGCAAGTTGCAACTTTGCACCCCTCTAACCCCTCTGATTTGTTTGTAATTTAAAAAAAAAAAAAAAAAAAAAAAAAAAAAGCAAACAGGGTAGATTGCAAGGGGGTGGGAGGGTGCTGGTTGCAATGGGCTCGGGGGGGGGGGTCTGGTTGCAGGACTACCAAAGCGTCGAGTTCTTAGACTCTGCGCAGGACTAAAGCGAGATAAATGCAGGAAAGGGAAAAAAAAACAGGGGTAGTGCAAGCTGGTTGTAGGTGGGTGGGGGGG